AGATGGATGTCATGGCTGGTGCATGTTGACAAATGCACCGAGTTGAAGATTATGGAAACAAATATGGAGTGATATGTGAGCATGAGCAGGACCACAAATGCATTGTGCTGTGTCCGATGAGCGGTAAATCTTTGAGAACGAATTATCGCCTTGCAACCATCATGCAGTAAATGAAAAAATTTTAAGATTTACTGTTATTTTTTCTATTTTTTATCTCTGTTTTATTTTTTAATAATTATTAATTATTTAATATTAATTATTATTATATTAATATATTATATTAAATAATAATAAATTAGTTAATTTTTAATTAATCAAACTATACGATATGGGCCTTCTGTAAAGTAAGGGAAAATGGGGTATGATGGAACAAAAAAAAAATAAATGAAAATTAACGCAATTATTTCCCTTTTAAACGCGAAATGATAAATAAATCTTAGCATCGCATCCTTGCGGTTACATTGCTAACTACCTAAGCAGAGATTAAAACTGCTCCATAGAGTAGAAATAACAAAAATACAAATTAAAATAAAATGTCTCTCAGTGCCCCGGAGGAGGGGGGGGGGGTACTACCTTGGGTACATTGGGACACTTCAGCTAATTTTGATATCATCAAAATTATAGTCAAGTTTCAGTTTAGAAATTTGTTTTGTTGTTGTTGTTGTTGTTGTTGTTGTTGTTCTGCATTAGTAGGGTTAAGAAGGACATTAATGTTTCCTATACGGACCGATAAAAGATCAGCTGCATCAGGAAATACAAAATGTTCAGATTTTTCTCTACGACGCAAGAAACTTAATATTTTTTTTTTTGCTCTCTTATTAAGCCTACATAATATTTTTTGGGCTCAGTGAAGCCAAATTATACAAGAACGTAATGATGGAGTTTTAGTTCTCTCTGTTTTGGTTTTAGGAAAGTAGAACTTTAACTAGGGGAAATTCGTCGTCCATTGCTTTAGATGAACTAGGTAAAATACGGAATTTTTCTTGTGATGAAGATAACGAAGAGCCTCGTATCTCTTCAAACGAATATTTGGCGGCGAACGATCAATTTCTTTTTCATATAAACAGGTCGTGGCCTGAAGAATGGGACGTGGACACTGTCCCAGTGTGTCCCAAACGAACTGTCCCATTGTACGCCAAACCGACATTTTAGAATCGTTCGGCCGCCATCTTAATATTAATGTACCAAGTTACAATTCATCCTAATTTTTTAACTTTGAACGTATAGCGTAACAATTATTTACAGAGTGAAGCTTTAATTTTTTAATTAATCTAATTAAAGCTTTATTTATTGAATCTTTAATTTTAAAAATAGGATTTTTTTATTATATTTGATACAGATATACTAGACAGAACAACGAGTCTTTCTGCCACGTCAATCAATGCACTAACTTCTCTGCTATTACTACAATATACTTTTGTTTGATATTAATTTTTAGTATCTAAAATAATTGGCGTGTTTTACCGTACCGGGCTGCGCCATCATCATCGCAACCATGTTTCACTGTACCCCACATCCCTCTATTTCACATCATAGACCCTATGGGTATATGCGAAAAATAACAAGATTGTAATATGATGAAGAATTGTTTACCTTATCGTTTTCATGTATTATCGATTTTCTTACAAGCTTGCAAATAACGTTAAATGGGAAACCAAACGAATCGTAGCCTTTTGTAGCGTTGAAATAATACAGCTAGGCTGGTGATAATGCTGCTCCAGTCTCCCGCAGATACCTCCATCATTGATAGTGCAAGCGCAATCGTTGACCGTTGAAAATACTTACATATTCTTCATCAGTCAAGATTTAACAATGAAACTCTACTGCGAAGATTGTTGGATGTTATTAAATATTAAAGTCTATATGCAACAATTATTTTCTATGAATAACTTCATAAAAAACAACTCATTCGGGCATAGACTGTAGAAGTTTTACCATATCTAGAAACTAGTACATTCCAAAACTTCATTAGAGAACTGAACCCTGAATAGATCAAGAAAAATAAAATAGAACAGGAGTAGGAAGTTTTAAACTGGTTTCTTGGTCGATTTTCGGCCAGCATGCCTCACGAAACTGCTGGACAAATTTCGTTGAAACTGCACAGTAAAACTTCCAACTCATAAGAACATTCCGCTCGTGTTTCAAAGCGTGTTTTTTGGTCGATTTTTACTTCATTAACAATTTATGATACAGTTTTAAAAGCAACCCATTCATGGAATGTCTTGTTCGCAATAAGGAATCTATTAACTAAACACCAACCCTAGATTTCAGTATCATGAACTCTGAGATTGAGACCTCGGCACTAGGTTCTCATTAATTTCATTATATGGGCCAGTTAATCATACGTAAAAAAGTCAAATAAGCAAAACAACTTACTTCAACACTAGCGAAAGGTCCCAAACTCAAGTAATAGCTTAGAACTCATTTTACAAATTCATAGAGAGCTATTTTCTGTTCACGACCAATAAGATAATTTAAATTTTGGCATTCAGTGATGATATTCAATCAACAAAAATTATCAGTATCATAACTGATGCCATTCGAACAGTCCGATAAGTGTACAATTATATTGTGCCAGTTGTCGAATATCTTTAAAAGTCAATTATATGCGTTAAATTACGCTGAGCACCAGAACTTGTCATTAATGGTGACTGAACACACTACGAATTAGTTATGAATTAGCGCTTAGCGCACCTAAACTAGTCGTGGTTGTGAGGGGTGACTCGGCCACAAGTGGAAGAATAAACTTAATCCATGAAAATATTGTTGAATAATACATGGACTACAATATTCAACGTAAAAACATGAACGTGGGAGAAATATTGACGAGGAGACTTAAAGGGATATATACCTAATCATATATAATGCACTTGTTAGTTAATTAATTTAAGTTGGAGGTAGAATTAAAGCAGTTGGAGGTAGACCACAAAATTCGTCATGATGTTCCAATGCTTCAATACTGAAATTGAGAAATTCAATTTATTTTAGAACTACGCATTATTTTATTTGAAAAGCTTCCTTGGAAACGTGAAAAATTCCGAGAAAAAAATTTTAATGAGGTCCTTAAACTATCTCACATTCTGGGCATTATTAGGATTTCAATCAAATCACTTCTCTGTAAAACTATTTATTTTCCTCGCAACAATACATCGTAGAGACACAAACCCCTCGTGATATCGCCATCAATAACTCAATCGCTGAATTAATGACAGCGCAAGTAATCAATTTTTAATATCTGGATTGCGTTTATTTAGGATCATTCTGATCATAACGGGAAAGAAGCTTTAGGTGAATGACTTAAAATTCACATTTATTATGAAAAAAGCTTCTCCGTGGTCATTACAATATACTTTCAACGACAAAAATTAATGCAGTATCATAATTTTTACACTATAGAATTATATAGTAGAATACGAGCTAACTCGCTCACTGCCTTACCTTTAACATTTCCTACAGTGAGAGTATAAAATACTTATTTATCTTAATGAATGCTTCGGTGGTAAATATCTCCTGACTAGACGACTTGCTCACAAGGAGCTTGTAACTTTTTTCTTGTTTCAACTTGTATAAGTTTTCGATTTGGCGTTTATTTCACGTCAGACGCTTTGGCACGGAAAGTAAGTTAGTTTTTCATGTTATTTCTTTCTCTCCAAAGGAAATCATGTATAGAACTATTCCCTCGTTTGGCCGAGGAAGTGATCCTACATGGTAAACTTAAGCATTCCTTCTGTGAATTAATCAACAAACTCGTAGGAAAAACACAGATAGATGATTTCGAAGCATAATATGGGACAAAAGATAAAAATACGAGACAAAAATGCAATAGAAACAATAATTACATTTTCTGTGTGAGTTCTTCATAGATACCGTTATTTTCGGTGCTCACCTAGGAGCTCCGATAGTCAGGTTACAGTCCTGGAATTAATAACATCAGGTTTGAAATTTATAAAGCATTGGATACTATTCCGGTGGCCAAGGTAACCTTTAAAATTTTGGCTGCAAGATGCTTGATTGTTGCGTTAACTTTGTTAGTATGAAGGCCAATCCACAAATGATTATTTATAAATAATTTTAACATGCGACAGGTAAAAGGTAACTTCACACGTCCCGCTACGTGTGAAAAGCAACACAGACAAGCATCTACGACTCTACGTCAACCGAACTGCACCTGTTCTATTGAAGATGCAAAGCACTAGGTCCTTTTGATGTAAAACATAAAAAACAATTGTTCAAAAATCAATCATTTTGAATTTAATTCTGAGATTACGCTAATGACGCTAATGGTCGTGTTCTGAATAATACATGATAATCACATTTTCGCACTACATACTGGAAAATTTATTGGTTTTTCACTGTTACTTCATCAATAATTTAGCACATGAGTTTGATAAGCGAACCTTCCTAAATTAACAGCAAAAGAACTAGTCTGCAGTTGTAATTCACAACCTTTTATGTACAAACCTTTTATGAACAAACGATCTGAATAATTCATGTTATTACGAGCGATGCAAATAACACAAAATTTCTAAACCTGAATTTAGATCACCATCTAATATTGAGTTCACTCATGACCGTAAAGTTTATCAAAGTAAATCACTGAAAATTAATGTTGCAGTTGCTTTTTCTTAAATGATCTTGTAAGGTTAGTGTCATTAAACGAAACTCCTTCAGTAAATAGTTTGGAATTATCCTGCTTGTTCACGTGCGAGTGTAAGAACCGAGCGAAAAAGGACCAGGTACTTAAAGACTTAAAAAAGTAATAATCTTCGCCTTTTATTTTCATATCCTATCGAATTCGGACACTCATGAAATATTTTGTCAAATTAAAGTCAAGGCGCTACTCTCGCTAAACCAAAAGACCAGAATTTTGACTCCGGAATTATATCCAGCGAGACCGCGAATTAAAACCAAAGCTAAAAATTATTTGCGATTCAAATTTGTGAATGAATAACTGTATGAAAGTTTCATTATTCAATCAATTTACTTATAGATTTTATTCTGCACATATAATTAATAAATCAATTTATATACAATATAACAAAACTCGCATTCTGGGCAGGGAAAAGTGCATCACCTTATCCTACTTGTTGGGGTTTTGATTATAAATACTTCGTACCATAAAGTTAAAGATAGGAGCACAAACTTACATTTGGGTGTACATAAATAGGATCGGAAAATATTTCTCAGAAGATATTTCACAGCAGGTTTTGAGAAGCACGATTACTGCTCACTAACACTTGTTACGCATGAACAGCGATTAATCAATAACAAGTCTTTATGAATCTTCTTCTTTGAACGATCATTTTCAGCACGAAGTTTCGTGCACATCAACATCCTCGACAGGATCAGGCACATCAAAACTGAGACGTGTCATGGCGGCCATGCTCTCATGGCGGCAGACCTTTTTTGTATCTGACTCGGAGGGTGCGTTCTCGCTTGCTTTGCTTGCATCGGAAACGATCTTTCTAATACCTGGTCCAACAGACGCCGACATAACCTGCTCGATTGGAGGATCAGTTCGCACCAACGGAGAATGACTGCGTGGCAATGGAGAACTTGGAACCGCCAGAGGTGATGGAGTTCGATGACTTGATCGGACCCTACGTGATGTTCCCGGTGACCTATCATCTACTGCCGCCCCCCTGCTGTATAGAGGAGACGGGGGTGGTGGAATGGGAGACGTAGGATGTGGTAGAGTGAAGATATCAGTATACAATGGTGAAAGTGGGTATGATAAAGGTGAGTAAGGACCAGGTGAAGACATGAGGTATGGTGAAGGAGAAGAAGGGACAGGTGAAATTGACAGAGGTGGCACGGGAGACAAATCTCGATAGCCAGGCGGTGGTTTGATGGAAATAAAATCATAGCTCGTGACAAGAGTCGGCTCCTCCTCCTCGGGGTACGTCGGTAGCTGCTGGCACGGTTGCGTGTAGTCCTTGGCTAGCTGGCGACGCAAGACGCCACGGCCATCAGCTGTCCCCTGTCTTCCTCTTCCATTTGATCGTGGGACGGGGGGAGTTTGGGGAGGAGTTGGTGACATAGAAGGACTTGAAGCTCTTGAAACTTCCTGCGAAGGAATGTCAATACTCAATTGAGGCACCATCAAATGAAAAGATACAGACTCGGTTGCTTCGTCCGTTGATGACGTTGAACCATTCGAGTCCTGCCGAGAGATCGAGCTGTCACTTCGCTTCACGGCTTGAGTTTCACTTTCAGCTCTTTTCATGGGCGAATATTTTTTAACTTTGAGGCTGTGTCTTACTTCCTCATTTGTTGCACTAAGAGTTCTTCGAATGTTCGGGACTTTGAATGATACCATTTGCGAGTCGACCTCATTGCTGGAAGTAGCTTGTAAACTATTGTCAGGTGCAAGCCGAGAAGGATCTGGTCTTTGAATGGTAAGTTTCTCCGTAGAGCCACTCAAATTGGTGTTCATAGGCAAACCGAGCAATTGTTTGCCTGTGTTCTGTGAAGTACTCCCAGTATAATAAATATTGGGTTGTGTGGCCCGGCGTGACGACCGGGGAGTTGATCGGAAGCTGCGAGCGTCATCACAACTGCTCCCACTTCCGTCGAAAAACACTGAGTCTGAACACAAAGATTTTCCGTCTTCGTCTACAGCTTTATGGGACAGCGTATGAAAACTACCGTGGTGATCTATCACACCTGCTTGGTCTGACACGCTTCTCACAGACCCGCAGGGGGATATGTTAGGTGTGGGCTGGATGACGTTGATGTCGATGGTCTGCAGCCACTCAGCCGTGGCGTGGTCGCTGTCCCAGTCCATTCCGCCGAGCTGTAGCAGCGGCCTCGCCCGAGACCCCGGAACACCTGACAAAATTCTTTAGTTAAATAATCGATCTTATTTTTGATATTCGTATGATCTCGTAATTTTTTGGAGTGGCACTTCCATTCGCAAAATGTGTACCAGTTGCTTATTAACAGCTACCATAATTGTATAGTTAAAGAAATCGCCTCAGAGATTCTCGAAAACAAAAATTATTATGAGTATCATAATAAAATGAACGTATCCTCACGCTTTCTTTATGTATGAAAATAAAATTAATCGTGATGAAAACAGCAAAATCTAGCAACTCTACTTTTATTCGATAATTTCACTTTGTAAAAAGAGTAAGTCATTGTGATATTGCGGATATGGGGCCATACTTTCAAAGCTCGCCAAGTGAACGTAAGTACTTACGCTCTATTTTCTTATTTATGATTGGTGGATTTTGCTTGAAAGGCCGTCAATGATTGGCTGATGAACTTACGATCTCTTAACTTTTTTGAAAGTATAGGGAATGTTCATCAGACCTAACAGCGCGGCGGGAGAGTCGAGCGGAGCGTCCGAGGAGGAGGCGTTCGCGCTGTAGGTCTCCGTCGACGACGTTGACTGCAGCCGCAATCCCGGCACACGCAAAAAGTCCGACCGCACCTATGCATTGAAAATTTTGCTCAACTTTTCTCAAATTAAATTATTAAACTGTCTCAACATTCAGCGATCTATTATAAATTACAATATTTTTCTTCCGTCGTTTCAGCTGAATCTCACTCCCAACTTGTCCACCTATCTTGGTGGAAAATCAGAGATTGTTTATTTTCTGAAATCTAAACCATATACATAGTACATGACACTGAATGTTTATCAAGTTTGGAGTAATCAGATTTGTTCTAAACAGATACACAGTACCTGAGGCTAAATTTTCGTCAAGTTTGGAGTGATCAATTATGTTCTAAAGTTAAACACTGTACATGACATTCACTGGTTAGCTATTCTAACATCCTCATTTATGTTCTATAGAGAAACACTGAACATAACACCAACAATATTAATAAAGATAATAGCTTAGAGTTTTCTTATGAAGATAAACGCGATTTTGTTATGAAGATAAACCTTTAATTTCAAGCGCGACTCAAACTGTAAAATCTTCTCTTCTTCTACAGCTTCACATATCATGCTTCTAACTCGTAAGATACCGTGCAGGATCACCGTATCCTGCAGACAAATGTTGTCAGGCATACTCACTTAGTCTACAAAAGAATCACTGTAAATACTCTCAGACTCATTTGATATACTCAGACATTGATCAATACTCAGACCCATTTGATATACAGCAGAGTAAGATGCGTCGAAAAGAATCTCTGTAGCCTCACCAATTAAGTGTACTGAAGGAACACCATGAATTCCGCAGATGCGCCTGCTGTTCACCTGAACAACCAGGCATCGTGTAGAATGTAGATGCATCTGCCTGAAAAAGCTCCTAGTATCTCGAACAACGAATGAGAAATGATTCCTCGCGAAAGCCAACCTAGTATTCTGCGAACACACCAGGTATCCTGAAGAAGGAAAATCAGGTGTCCACCTGGCATCCTGCGACACGCCTGGTAACTCACCAGGTATCCTGCAGACTCACCTGGTATCCTGAGGAGCAGGAGGCATCCTCCTTCTCATAGGAGCTCATCCTGGACCAGTTGATGGCCATGACACTGCCGGGGAGGCTCTTCACCCTGAAGCTGTTGGCGAGGGAGGCGTAGCTCCCCACCGACCCCCGCGGGGGCAGGGGGGCTGACCCCATCCCCACACGCCCCTCCTCGTAGCACCTCCCCACGCCACCCCGCTTCACGGCTACCTCAGAACTGACACGCAGCATAAAATACTTTGACTTTCTAAATTTATTGTATACTCTGATGCTGTTGTACATAATGAATTATAAATTGTTTAATTGCTTTGAATTATTCTTGTATGCAATGAACATTAAACACCGCGAACAATTGTGGTCATTCTGATTATTCTTGTTAGTAAAATATCAAAAGAAAACAAATTTAAAACCTCCCCAGCTAAATTTTAGTTTTTTCCTACTATTTTGTGATTCTCTAGTCTACACAACTTTGATAGATGGATAAATTATTTTCTAAATCGATTATTCTTTATGAATAATAAATCTGTAGGAAATAAAACTATTTTAAACTCCCGTTATCTTCCCCATATTATGTGTTTTTTGATATTTTTATATGTTATTTTGATAACGAGTAAGACAATCAGTAAGACTGCGATGTCACTCACGTCCACTTTACCCTTTACCGCGTAGGAGTCTATGTACTGGGTTTACAGTATTCTTGCATTGCGTCTTTATATATTATGTGGGTTTTTGTGGAGTTTATTCTACCTTTTAGTTAAGTGTATCTTAGTTATTAGTATCTTGCACTATTTCGCAGCATGTTAGGCTATGTCTAGCCATACTGGCTGGGCCAGATTCATGCTACGTGAATGAAAAATTAAAGATGTTTTACATCGCCACTTTTAGGTTATCGAGGTACATTATAGATTTAAATACGTGGGTGCAGGATATTACAATGTAATAACTTACTATGCATAAGAATGAAAATTGAGTTATTGATTTGTATTTTCTGTCAAAGGGACATTTAATTTCTTCGGCTTAATTATGACTCTATAGATAGCCTTTTGATTTGAAGCTAGACAATTACACTAGATAAACAAGAAAAACAGCTAGAAGAAAAATTACAAACAAAACTAGTGTGTGGTGCTCTCTCTGCACTGGTAATTCTGATAATTTTGTAATAATATTAAACTGCGTACCGTTACCAAATGACTCTACTGTTCTTATTAATTTGTATACAAGATTTAAATGAAATAATAAGAGTATTGCATGCAAATTTATGAGTAACCTTTCCAAACTCACGTTCCACATTGCACTTAATTGAAACATAAATTCCCACTTGTTTTCCGTTATCAGTTAAATGTAGGAAAAAATTAATCTTCTTCGAAAGTAAATTTCAATTTTTGATCCAATAATTTTCTTCCAATTTTGCTATGCCTTAAAATCCCCCACTAAGAATTAAATGTTGGATCCAAGTAAAATCCAGAAAAGATAAGGGTCTATAAAGCTCGCCCGAACTCATATTATATATTTATGAGATTAGGCCGTAATAATGACAAAAGATTCACATTAAATAAAAGAGATAAACTTTTATGTGCTGCCTTTCCTGCAGGGCGAATGAAATATTTCTGTCTTCCCATTTTCTCGAACCCATTAATTTTTTCATAAATCCACGGAATTTAGTCCCAGTATTTAAATAACTGCTGCAATTCCTTTAGTATGAACAGAGGTGATTCTAAAAAATATCCTAATATGATTCACAATGAAATCAATAAATAAAAAAATCTTTTGGCAATCGGGTTTTTTAACGAGTTGATTATTAATATAATATCACAAATCTGTTAACCTCATTTAGTGAGTATTCAGGCTAAAGGCCAACTAACCTGAATGGGTTACTGCACCAAAAGTCGCAGTAATCGAGAGGTCTCTCCGGTACGTCCTCCAGTGATGGGTAAACATCGAAAGGCTTGCTCTTCTTACAGCGGCTTTTGTAGAGGATCACCGACACCGTGAACAGGAAGAACAGCGCCAGGGTGATGGCTGTTCTTATACCCGTCCATACGTCGTACGTGGCGTAGAATTCCTTATCAAGACGTTAATTGTTGAATTATTCAATGTTGTGAACAAAATTTATTAATGAGATATACTTTTTTTTAGGTATACAAAATTTAATAATGCGGTCCATACGTCGTACGTAGTGTGGAATTCCTTATCAAGACATTTATCATTGAATTGTGCAATGTTGTTAACAAAACTTATTAATGAGGTAAGAGAAAAAAAATTTATTCTGATGACCAGAAACTGTCAACTTATGTGATGACTTTCCTAGGACTGTGAAATAATCATATGAATCATGTTATGATTGCTGGCGAAATAATGGGAAAACTAGCCATTGATAGAAATTTTGTTATGTTCTTAAATTACCAATAAAATTAAATGCATACATGAACATTACGTGAAGATATTAACCATTGAACATACGAAACATATGTGGCCTCATGTTTTGCTCAGCTCATTAGCTTGCGTTCAAAATTAATGCTCATAACCCTTTGTGCTGGGGCACGGAGTCGTGCCTAAGAGGCTGAGACTATGGCTACGCCATCGACTTTATCTTCGTCGTTAATTAAAAATAATTTCGGAGACAAGTAAGGAACAGAGTTCCCGCTTGGCTTTACATGTTCGTTTGCTCGACGCCAATCTCCAATAAAGTCAGGGCGCGAAGGCGCCTATAATTCTTCGTTGAACATTCTCCTTCAATTGACTTAGTGAATGTCACATTTGGGACTTGGAATACACAAGAAAAATAAAACTCATCAATATAATCGACTACTCTTAATATCTCATAGTATCCGGGTTGTTTAGTCAATAAAGAATACTATCTACGTACTAAAATAACTTCCTAATCTATTTTAGATTTATTGTTCAATATTGAATTATGTATAATTTTGGGCGCTGGAATTAGTAAGGCAGAGTCAAAGTATGTCAACTAATCCTGCATCTTTGATTACGGGACAATCCGTCATTTTTAACTAATGCAATGTAGGTTAAATAAAACTTGAATACGGCATAGTAGTAAAGATACAATAATACGGCACAATAATAATCACAGCCTAAAATACGACTATTATTTATAATTTTTACCTGAAGCTCCCGCTGCTTGTCGGTGAGCGCCTCCCCCACGCCGGTCCCTGCGTCGTGTCCTGCGATCACAAGCAGCGCTCAGTTCCATGAATGATTGCATTAATGATTGCATGAATGATTACATTCATGCTCAGTTACATGAATGATTGCATTCATGCTGGTCGTGCTCAGTTGCATGAATGATTGCATTAATGATTGCATTAATGATTGCATTCATGCTGGTCGTGCTCAGTTGCATGAATGATTGCATTAATGATTGCATGAATGATTGCATTAATGATTGCATGAATGATTGCATTCATGCTGGTCATACTCAGATTGCATTAATGAAGCGTGGAGATAAACGCTCGTCAGAAGCACGAGATAACACTGAGATGACGTTCCTGGTATAACAATTAGGAAAACTCTGATGAACTAATTGGTTTTTGCTTGTGATTGATTGTGCTGCTGCAATTGAGCTTGATTGTGCTGCTGAAATGTTGTTGTAATGTTATGAAATACTCGTGGAGAACTCAAGATATTGATTGCCAGTTACTAGAGTTATTCATTGAAAAGTATTAAGCATTATGGAATATGATGAAACTAACTTGAGGATACAATATTAAGTACAGTTTTTTGTCAGCCGTATTTGGGTAGCAACAGCAGCAATGTAATACCGTTCTCTTAGAAACTCATATTGTCGACTCAATTAACTTTAGTATAAGAGATGAAGTTACACTTAAAGCATAATTTTATGGTTCAATTGTTATTAATAGATTATATTTAGTATTAGACTGACCTTGTTCAAGCAGCAGCTGCGGCAACATGGTGACGTTGCCAGGCACGTCGCCCCTCACTTCCATCTTGAAGGTCTGGCGACGTGAGCGCCCTGCAGCATCACGCTACGTAACGTAACTTCAGCTCCTTTTAATTCCGTCGCTTGCAATCACTTTTAGGATTTTATATCCTCGTCACTCTAATAAACGCAGCTAATTTATTCCATGGAATGCAAACTGAAGTCATACATCAAAGCCATGCACTGGTGCATATATGTACAGCCCGTTCATGTCGGCACCCTGCTGCATATTGCGTAGTATGGTTTCACTTTATAAATTAAATTTATGCTGTTTCCATTGAACAAAAAATAAGATGATCAATTTGATTAATAATAAATTTCAAGCACGGGTGTAGGACGCCTAATCAAGCAGATCTGGGATTAACGGTACATTTAACTTAACCACAATACATTTAATTAACTTAAGTTAAAATATCATAAATACATTTAATGTAGCAAATAATTCTAATAAAAAAGTTTTTCCGTATGAATATTATCCAGTTATCTTAAGTTCCATTCAACATCTGAAAACAAATTACTTCCAGAATCATATTCGAAGGCAAGAAATATGAGGACACCATGACGCAAATTTAAAAGAAATTGCGATGCAACCTCATATCTCAACTCACTAGCTAGCGTCTGTCATGGTAAGCAACTGAAATGAAACTGTCATGAACTGGCAACTAAAAACGTGACGCTAGACCATCGAGCATTTATTTTACCTTCTTGCTTCTGAGTGCATGGCGAGCGTCTGGCAATTTGATCGAGCATTCGACTTAATTACTGGTTTGGTTTTAGTTTCACTGAAATATTATAGCAGGTTTTCAATGATATTGAATGACGGTTGTTAATGTCAGAGTAGAATAAGATCCAATAAATTTTATTCGTAACATTTTTGTATTTTTTCTATTATTGCTTGCCATCTTCCCAATTTCCAAATTTGTGAACTTTGCAACAAGCAGCAACTAAAGTGCTCATAACTTTCCCAGATGAGAAATAATTATTCCTTTGTTGCATGATTTAATCGATCTTCTAAAGCCACAGCTTAGGACAAAATGGTAATTGATTGCGATTACTATCCCGCCCAAATATCAACCAGAAAAATGTATATATATATATATACTGTATATATGTATACACACACAAGAAGACTCGTAGCAGCTGTATACACATGCCTTTAAATGGTTTATATGGCTACATAGTTGCAAGCAAGTATATGGTAGTCATTCTTAGAACACAGTAAAAAGCTAAACACAGGTTCATCAAGAGGAAAAAGTTGCTGTAGTGTAAAATTTCCGTGGGAGCTCATCAAATCAATAACCTGAACTCATCAAATACTTTAATTTTAGATTAGTTATATATTTTGAGATTTACTATAGCACTTCGCGCCTGTATTTCACGTTTATTACATGTTTTCATTGCTACGTTTTCATCTTCTGTTCAAAAAGTCGCTAATTATATAACCATCCAATTGATTATCTATGCAAAAATCCATCCAGCAAAAATTATCTATGAAATTATTAAGGTCATTAATATTCCCGCACCAATTCGTAGACCCAGGCATTGCCAGCGCAGTGGAGGGAAATTTCATCCCATATCCCTTAAGATTTCCTGAGGATTTGGGATCCTCCAAGCCGTTGTTGTTCCTCAGGCGCCGGGAAAATCGATGCGTAAAGCAGACTTGGGACGAGCAAGTCGACGAGCGTGGACGCTGCGACATTTGCCGACAACTTTCTGGAGGTCTTTGATGGCAAGTTCTTGCCCTCAGAAAGCTCATGTCACTCATCGAGCAAATCCGTGTTCCAAGTGTCACTGGTTGAAATTCTGAAGAATTTCGTGGTTGGTTCTTTTATTTTATAATTTGTCTTCCGTTTGAGTTTTGGTTGCTGCTAATAATGCCTTCACTACACTTAACCATTGATAATTTTATCCCTAATCCTGCCCCTTCATGATTAAAATAGAAAATTTAATGCTTAACATCTTTCCATACCTTGCTGAAATTTTATCAAAATTTGAATTTATCCCCAAATATTCATCTAATGATCTTTCTGTTAATTTTCCGAGCAGTGTTGCTGTTTAGATTCGGGCTAGCATCTCTTCAGTTAGTTAGTTCAGTTTCTCAATTTTCCACAAAGTCTATCAATTAAAATTGTTTTAATAATAAATCATATTATTGTCTTTAGCTTTGGGGACGTTCCGTAGTGAAATTATAAGATTTGTTTGTACTATTTTTGATATTTTTAATTTGCGCGCTAAAACTAAATGAACACCGTAAACGAAGACATACCCGTAAGACTCACTAACGTTTGCTCTTTAAAAATCATTTAACTTTTAGAATAATCTAACAATATTTAAGCGATTTTTGTGTTGTAAACATCATGACGCAAAAAAAATAAAATAAGAATGCAAACTTCATTGATCAGCTAAAGAATGCAAGACTGCTCGCGAGCTAATCAGCAGAGTGCCTGTCACCGTCGCACTCGAGGTTTAGCTTCACCGTCAGCGCGCAGCCTGTCGTGTCTCAGCTTCAAAGACTGCACGCAGCTTGTAACGGTACAGCTTGTCCCGGCTCAGCTTCACAGGCAGCGAGCTGCTTGTCGTGTCTCAGCTTCAAAAACTACGTGCATCTTGTCGTGTCTCAGCTTCAAAAACTATGAGCAGCTTGTCAAGGCTCAGCTTCTAAGACTACGCACAGGCACAGCTTGTCAAGGCTCAGCTTCAAAGACGCTGCGTTTGTCGCGTCTCAGCTCCAAAGACTGTTCGCGCTTGTCGCGGCTGATCAGCTTCAAACACTACGCGTAGATTATATAAAATAATAACTCCAATTCATAGGCAGCACGTATTTTGTCGCGGCTCGGCTACTAAATGCATGCCTGGTTTTTTCGAGAAGGTTTATATTAATCTGTCCATCGACGGTCGCTATTTTCCTCGTACATTCATACATAGACTAAATTGAACAATTTCGTGATATAAGTTTGTGAACATAAGTAATGTATATTCAACGGAAAGGTCAGACTCTAAAATCAAAGCGACAGTAACAATAAAGTTACATATAGCAACTGTTGTACCGTTTTGAAAATTGAATACAATTGTAAAACCTTTCAGCAACTTAGAATGTGTTTACACGGACGCCAGCAAATCATTTTTGTAATTTCGAGATGAAGTGGAAAAAAATTAGCATTTGTCTCACTGCAGGCAGGCTGTCCGATTGATATATTCGCGCTGCTTTCATAGCTGCTCTACGTGCGTACGAGGGCAACAAAAATTTTAAGCAGTGTACAAATTTTGGACACTGAAAAAACGTTGTTTTCTGTGCGCGAGAAGCAGAAAAGGCAATAAATAATAGCGGGAAACTTTAGTTTGCAACACTTGCTGATGTAATGATATAATTTTAAAATATTATACGGCAATATTAGCAAAACTTAACATCTTTATATCCAATTAAGTCACTTAGAGGAACTATTTTGCTCATGAATCCAGTTGCTGGAAATCGGGTTTATGATAGAAAGATACTGTTCGATTTTTTTAACTTTGGTCTTTTCATCTCATGATACTGAGAAATTAAACACTTTTTAAGCACTTTTTCAAACATACCGAAAATAAACACTTCGGATCTTTTATTGATTTGTATTTTGCAGATTTTTTATTGTTATGAGCATTATAGTATAAGTCTGTAAATACGAGTAGTACGTCAATATCAAAAGTAACAACATTACTGTAAACATTTGAAGAGTAATGAATGCTCCCACGTGCAATAAATGCATTCACAATTATTGGCTTCAAGTTTTTCGTAAAGTTGAAATATTCATGCCATGTCTTCAGAATATCTGCAGTTGAATAACGCTCGTCAACGTCCGTTCATTGAACCAGCGGCGCACGCAGACGCGCGTTGATTCAATTTGTTTTGTTATGTGCCAAGAAACAAGATTTTGAATCTCTTTATTCCATATTTTGGCTCACAAAATAGGTCAAGTGATTTGTACCTGCCATCGCATCAAAAATGCAACTCCTGCAATAATACTTAATTCTAAGTTGTGTACATTTTAGTCTATAAAGAGTAATACTAAAGAAGATTAAATTTTAAAAAATATATATGAACCCCATCGAGTCTGTCCGAAAAATTTATGATCCATACTTTTTGCAAAAATGGATCCTGAAAATTTTTATACCCGGGTATAATTCTTTGAAACCAAGAACCATTTAGATTCAACTTTAAAATCAACCAAATTGATTCTCTTTTTTTCAGATACAATTTACATTTTTTGTTCTTTTCCAACCCGGAATATACATAATATTGAATAATTTGCGACTTTTATTTTTTGTCCAAGTGGATTGAATGGAACTCCGCAGTCCAGTATCCTCGTTAAGGAAGATTTAAGATCACTTCGTCTAAATTTCCTTGTCTTAATTGCCTTGGAGTGCTGATGGGTGAGATTACAGTGAAGAGCTGAACGCAGATGACCTAAAATTCTTGCGCTCCTCGGTGTCTTTTTATGAGCGATGTTAAAGAACGGGAGGTTGAATGGTGACGCTGCGGGAGTTGTTTTCATTGGAAAGACAATTCGTGTTTTTTAAGATGAATGAAAGTCTCAATTTTGAGGAGCGGAAGACTGAATGATCAGGCTGCAGGATTTGTCTCCATTGGAAAGACAATTCATGATTTGTAAGACGAATGAAAGAGTCTCAAGTTTGAAGAACGGGAGGCTGAATGGCTAGGTTTCTGGAGTTACTTTAAGCTGAAAAACAAGGCATGATTTGTAAGACGAATGAACGAGTCTCAAGTTTGAATAATGGGAGGCTAAAGGGTCAGACTTCGGGTGTTGTCTTCATTGCAAAGACAAGTCGCGGTTTGCAAGACATATTAACGGGCCTATTGCTTACTCGGAATAGGAACAATTATTGGAAGAGCCAAAAACAGATGATTTTAGGAACTACATAGAAGCAATCTCCTAATCCTAAATTACAGTGTATAACGAGGATACTAAAATTCAATTTCTCTCAACAGTTTTTATGGCCCAAATGCATCTGAGCATAATTACAAATTTATTATTTATAAATTGCTGTCATGAAACTTCTCTTCAAAATTTGAAGAGAATAAGACATACATCCATGAGGGCTTGGTTCCCTGAAACCTTGTAATTAGGATCACTGAATGCACGAATTTTATAGTTCTTCATGAATATACGGTACGACATCAGGTACTATAGTAATTTCTGAATTTAATTATAATCACAATTTCTGTGCTGAATGCGAAAATAGCCAAAACAAC